CGCGACACTCCACGGGCTCTCCCTCTCCGAACAACCCCCGCGCTACGACCCCAGTATCGGAAGCCGATACCATCCCCTTGGAGCTCACGGACTCCGACTCAGAGCACGAGCGCACGATTGTCAGTGCCCCCTCCCCTCTGCGCTCACCCTCCACCCCTCCCCTCCAGCGAGGACTGTCCGAACCAATCACGGGCGAGGACTATGACCGCCTCCGAGAGCGGCCCGTAACCCGCTCGGTCACAAAGAACACTAGTTAAACTCCAAACAATGGAGGAATTTCTTCTCCAGTGGAACACAAGATCCCTTGTGGGCCACTGGGGGGAATTCCGTGAATATATGGTAAACAAAAAGCCATTAGTAGCCGCTATCCAGGAGACCAGATTTCTCGACTCAGATTCAATCAACTATAACTTCAACATTTTCGGCTATTCACTGTATTGCGATAACGTAAATGAACAACCTCGCCGAGGCGGCTCGGCTTTGTATGTATCTAACAATTTAATTCATCAACAAATAACTTTCAATTCGACTCTAAATTACGTTGCAACAACCATTAAAATCGCACAGCGAGACATTAACGTAATATCCCTTTATCTTTCCCCAACCCATAACGTAACCTTTCAACAACTGGATCACTTTTTCCAACAAATTCCTTCCCCTAAATTGATACTAGGTGATTTTAATGCACACCATACTGCCTGGGGCTGCCAATACACCTCACAGCGCGGACACATACTTAACAACATCATGGATGCGCATGACCTCATATGCCTCAACGACAAAACACCGACATATTACAGAATTGAAAATGGTATTAACAAACTTTCGGTCATAGATCTTGTTCTAGCATCCCCTGACATAAGTCTTCTCTTCTCGGCCCAAGTCCAAATCGATAAATATTTCAGCGATCACTACCCTCTTCACATAGTAGTAGAGTCCTCTTCAAGGAGTCAAAACGATTTCTTCCTTCCAAAATGGAACATGAGGAAGGCCGACTGGAACGGCTTTCAAGATTACATTGACAAATACATAGAGGAATATAACAACCACAACGTAAATATAAGTAATAATAACATTGATATACAAAATATTTTAGATATAATCAATGAAGCCGCAAATATTAACATACCACTTACCGGCCAAAGGCCCGGGTATAAACACGCTCCCTGGTGGAGTGACAGTTGTCAGAATGCGGTCGCCAGAAGGCGCAGAGCCCTCAGGCGATGCCGGAAGTGCCCCTGCCCCCAACACGAAAAAGAACTTCGCATAGAAATTAAAAATTGTAAAGACACCATACTTAACGCCAAAAAGCAAGCTTGGGAAAACTTCTCAAGCAAGTTCAACCGATTCACTCCCACATCCAAGATATGGGAATATATAAAATGTTTTAAAAATAAAAAGACGCCAAGCTTCAAAATACCATCATTGCTTATACACAACACACTCACAACAGAACCCACCACAGTAGCAACACATTTCGCAGCCCACTACGCATCCACCTCATCTCAAAACAGCTTTTCGCAAGTACTCCACCACGAACTCAGCACCACACTAGCAACACTTACCTTTCACTCCGACAATACAGAGCATTACAATCACCTATTTACCCTTTATGAACTTCAACTTGCAATTTCTAAATCTGGCAATACTTCGGTAGGACCAGATAAACTAGCATACCTATTTTTCAGAAAACTAACCGACTTCGGCCTAAATCAACTTCTCTCGGCTATTAACGAACTCTGGGTTGATGGCACCTTCCCAGACTCTTGGAGGGAAAGCATTGTCATTCCCATTCTTAAACGAGATAAACCAAACACCGATCCAGCTAGTTATAGACCTATATCCCTGTCAAGCTGTGCCTCTAAAATTGTCGAGAGAATGGTCAACAATCGAATCAGGGTGTATCTAGAGCCCAACAATCTCCTTTCACAACACCAAAACGGCTTTCGCCCAGCCCGTTCTACAGCGGACAGCATAATCCACATAATAGACACAATTCAGCAAGGCTTTTACAATGACAAGGTCACCGCAGCGCTATTTCTCGACCTAAAAGCAGCATTTGACAGAGTACACCATGAAGCACTTTTAATAAAAATACACAATATAGGCATTAAGGGCAGAATGGCTGCCTTTATAAGTAATTTCTTGGAAAACAGAACCTTCAAAGTAAGAATAGGCAACATATGCTCACCCACACACAAAATGGACCACGGAGTCCCACAGGGGAGTCCGCTCTCCCCGACACTCTTCCTTATCTTCATCAATGATATATTTAATAACATAAATCAAACAGCCCACAACGTAGAATATTCAATGTATGCCGACGACCTGGCCCTCTGGGCCACCCATCACAGTGTCGATACGGCTCACAATCGCCTTCAAATAGCCCTTAATGACGTGAACTCCTGGTGCAAACGATGGGGAGTCGTTATAGCACCAACAAAATCGGCCACTATGACATTTTCAAAACAACCCAAACATATTAACCCGCGCATTCGTACACAATTGCAAGGCCAAATAATACCGACAGTAAATATCTTCAAATACCTAGGAGTAACTCTCGATAGGAGACTTACCTTCAATGCACACATTAAAGACATCTCATCAAGATGCACACGTAGACGTAACGTACTGAAAGCTATCGCCGGCACAGATTGGGGCGCCGACAGACGCACACTTACACACCTATATACATCCCTGATTCGATCGGTCCTGGATTATAATGCCTTTCTATTTACCAATATATCCACTACTCTCAGCAACAAACTGGAGAGTATCCAAAACACTGCTCTACGCACCATCACAGGCGGTCTCCGCACATCTCCAACAATGAATCTCCGAGCTGATGCCAATATTCCTTCGCTAGAACGTCGCCGGGAATATCAACTTCTCCGCTTCTACATAAAATCTCTAGCGAAACCAAACACAATAACATACAACATAATGACGAACCTCCCAGAAAATAATATAATAACACATAGAGAATACAGGTACCCTACAATAAGAAGACACATTAAAATATTCTGAGGGACTACAAGATAACCCCACACGAGGTAATACCTACCCCACCTCTTAGTCCATTCTGGACACAAAATCACATAGAAACAATGCTTCTTTTCGACGACACCAAACGTGAGATCTCCAATCAAGAAATGCATAGCCTCTTTCTCCAATTTAAAGACGATTATCCAGACCACAAATTCATTTATACGGACGGCTCCTGCGCCGACGGGAAAACAGGTGCCGCCTTTTGCATCGACGGTTTCACCCAATCATTCCGCCTCTCCAATCATCATTCTGTTTTCTCCGCCGAACTATACGCAATCAAGGCCTCACTTCACCACATTGCCAATCGAAGCATCGACAAAATCATGATATGTACCGACTCGAGGGCAGCGGTACAATCACTCCACACACTACACAACTCATCAAACCCTATCATCCACGACATCAGGAAACAAATTAACTCACTAATAACTCAAAATCGAAATCGCGAAATCAAGGTCACATGGATACCGGGTCATGCAGGCATCACGGGCAACGAGCGAGCGGACCGAGCCGCCAAGGAAAGTCTCCAGGACCCTCCAAACGACTCGCTCCCATGCCCGGCATCCGACCTCCTAAATTCACTATTCGCCGCCTTTAAACAATCAGTACAATTCGATTGGGACATCAATCCCCACTATCACCTCCACCCAATCAAACCCCTTCTTAAACCATGGCCCTCATCGAATCAGAACACCAGACTAAAAGAAGTGATTCTCGCGAGACTCCGGATCGGCCACACAAAACTCACACATACCTATATTATCGAGCAAACTCCGCCTCCTCTATGCCATCGATGTAATATAAGATATACAATCCAACATTTTCTTCTACATTGCCCCCTATACGACGTTGAAAGACAACCGATGAAAAGATATACGACTACTAATCAACTTCCAATGACGCTCCCTACTCTTCTTGGTGATTCAAATCCAGACCTACTTGACCTTCTTTTCGTTTTTCTACACAATACTAAACTTGAACGATCCATATAGCACAGTCTCGCGCTCAGTTCCGTGGTCGGCAAGCCGTCGATAGCGGTTCTGGGCGCGGGACTCAATCTTCTTGATTTCCTGGATACTGGCCATGTCAATTAAGGAGCCCCGAGCTTACGGGCACCAGCCGCCGCCGCGGGGACCATTGGCACGCGGCGGCGGGCTCCTCTGCCCCCCATCTGCTTGGAGAAAGAGGTGTCGGCACTATGCCGTCCGCAACGACCCGTTTAATGGATTGTTACGTCACTGGAGTCCGCACTGAAACGTCAGTTCTCTAATCATACCAGTCAGCACTTGGTGGGAGTTTGCAGGAGCCCCGAGCTTACGGGCACCAGCCGCCGCCGCGGGTACCATTGGCACGCGGCGGTGGGCTCCTCTCCCCCAATTCATTGGAGACATGATTTTCTCTTGGTTTCTCTTGGTTTTCTCGTGTTTCATTGTGATTGTTTTGTTTCAATTGTTCTTGTTTTCCCTTACGTTTGCGAGCGCGCGTGTTTGCGTCCCTCCGGCGGCGGCGGCGGCGGCAATCGGGACCTGCCCATCCCTCTCGCGGTTCTCGACAGGGATCCCTCTTAAAGGTTGAGGCCCACTCGAGACACCGAAGCTATCTGGCCGGACACCCCGGGCGTGGCCTAGGTGGCTTGCATCCATGGCCCCCGGGAGTGGATGAAGGCGATAGCTCCACAAACACACTTACACATTAGCGATATAACGTAACGTAATATCAAAGCAAAGGGATTTTTCCTGTGCAATTTGGCAAAAGCGCACAGGTTTTGCCCTCTAAGATAGGCACCAGGTTTTTCTAGTTAGGACTTTCCTGGTGGAACTCACAACACAACAACAGCACACATTACAACACTACCACATTTCAGCATCAAGATTCAGCAGCAAGAAATGTAAGTACTCAAAATCCCTCTCGGCACTGCCACTCTGGCACCCTTTCTGGCTTGGAAGCGTGTTTATGAAGTCAGAAGTACAATTACTCAAAACGCCACCGACTGTGTATTTCACGTCGGTTCTGAGTAGATTTACACACCAACCGGTACCTGCTTATTTCACGTCAACTCTCGGTTCTGAGTAGTTTTACACACGGCTTTGCATGGGATTAAATGACGTCGGACTGGAGTAGTTTTAAGCACAGGGGAAAATGCGACCAAAATCACGTCAGATCGAAGTAGATTTACTCCAGCGGCTTGACGTGCTAAAATCACGTCCAGTCTGTGACGTAATGGGGCCTGCGCATGCGCACAAAGTCCCGCGCGAATTTTAACAAAGAAAGGGTTGCGTCGGCCGCGGGACAAGGGGTGCGCGCCGGTCTTTCCGCGTCCGTTCGGCTGGGGACCGGTTGGCGAGCTGGAGGCGTCTGTGGTGAATCTGGAGTGTTGAGGGTGAGCAATTTGCTGAAAGCATGATTTTTGTAGACAATGGTTAGTGTAGTACACAAATGATGCTTGAATTCCTAGCGTAAGTACTTCCTGTACTTCCATTTGATCAATGTCAATGTAGAATTAATTGCAGGCAGTTTCAGTTGGCTTGATTGACCCAAGGGAGGCTGAGGCTATGATACAAAAGTTGTGTTATTTGTTTGCTATTTTGCTATGCTTTTTTGTAAGCTAGCAGTTTTCTTTGTGGCCCAGTTGATGAGATAGCTTTCTCGTAAAATAGTATTATCCAGGCAGCTCGGTGTTTACACTGTGACGTCAGCATGGCCTGTGCGTAATTTTTTTGTGATGCCACCTGGTACTTATCTTTGCATTGCATTACCTAGCTAGTTTGTGGTCTCGTCTCTCTGAGCTATCATTCATTTCATCCTAAGTCGATATGTGCGGAACAATCAATTAAAAATATTACTGCTAAATCAAAACCCTGTGCCATGAGTGACATGCTGCCAGCACCTACTAGGACTAGGTATTGTAAGGAGCACCCCTTGTGTGGCACCTGGGCCATGTTTTAATGTGTTATGCTACCCGATGCTAGCAGGCACTGGTGTTCAGTTTCTATGGAAATGTAAAACAAAATTGGCAATTCTGCTTTAGTTTCCATGGAACCTCAGTGCGAATACCTGGGTAGGGTCAGTGTTGTCATGAAACAGGGCCCCAGAAAAATCCAAATGTGTAAGTGATGTGTGCTCATAATAGTTTTGTTGATATGGCTTAAAATATTTTGCAGCGTCGTAGTAAAAATAAAATTAATCTAATAAAATGAATGATCTCCCACTTAAATGTATTTTATTCAACTTTCCCAAAATTGACCCTTACTATAAAAAGAACTTTCTTTGTATTACTTGTTTTTACAATTGGAATGTCGAATGTAAAATGCATCCTTTAACCATCTTCAAATTCACCAGTCAAATTCTAGCTGCTATAAACATTCCTGCCACTTGCCAGTGCCACTGCAAGTCCCAAGGCTCGGCAGTTGGCCCACCCCTGCCCTCGCCCCTCTGCATGCAAAAACCCTCACCCTGCCCTCGGCAGCTAACCCCTGCGCATGGAAGATGGATTTACCTCTGCCCCTGGATGTGGCCAAACCTCCGTCATTAGTGCTGCTGCCCATTTCACCCACACCCTGGCCCTTGTGGCCCCATATCTGCTCCTGGTGGCCTTGCCCCTGGCCCTGTTGGTCTTACCCATGCTCCTGGAAAATCTGTCCTTGCCCCTTCAGACCCATACAGTGATTGCACTCACATCCCAGTTCCTTACAGCCCTGGCCCTGTCCCACATGGCCCTTCCTTTGCTCCTAGATCTACTCCTGCTCCTGACACTCACAACACCCCTGTCCATTACAGCCCTTGCTCTGCCCCTGTTGGTCCCTGCCCTGCCCCTGGTGGTCCCTCCCCTGCCTCTGCCTGGTCTACCCCTGCCCATGGTGGCCCTTCTAGTGGTGGTCCTATCCCTGCCCCTGGTTGTTCTAGCCTCTGGCCCTGGTTGCCCCAGCACCTACTCCTGTCTCTGGTGGCCCCATCCCTGCCCCAGGTGGTTCTCCCCTGCCCTTGTTGGCCTTAACCCTGTGCCCCTGGTGTACCGAACTCTACCACTGGTGGCCCTAATCATGCCCCTGGTGGTCCCATCCCTGCCCCTGGTGGTCTTACTCCTTCCCCTGGTTGCCCTAGCCCTTACTGCTGCCCCTGGTTGTCCAAGCTCCTGGTGGCCCTATCCCTGCCCCGGCCCTGGTTGCCCTAGCACCTACTCCTGCCCATGGCAGCCCTATTCCCACCCCTCCCCTTGGCTGCCCTAGCCCCTACCCTTTCCCTGATTGCCCCCAGCTCCTGGTGGCCCTATCCATGCCCCTGATGGCCCTATCCCTGCTCCTGGTGGTCCTACCCTGCTCCATGGTGTCCCCATCCCTGCCCCTAGTGGTCGTGCCCCTGGTCGCCCTACCTACTGCTGGTCCTAGCCCTACCCTGGCCATGGTTTCCCTGCCTCTGGCTGCCCTAACCCTGCCCCTGGCTGCCCTAACCCTGCCCCTGGCTGCCCTAACCATGCCCCTGGCTGCCCTAACCCTGCCCCTAGTCACTGGTGGACCTACCCCTGCCCCTGGTGGCCCTATCTCTGCCCCTGGCTGTCCTAGGCCCTCGCCCTGCCTTTGGTGGCCCTACCCTGCCCATAGCTGCCCTAGTACCCTACTCCTCCCCTGGTGACCCTATCCCTGCCCCTGGTGGTCTTACTCCTGCCCCTGGTTGCCCTAGCCCTTACTGCTGTCCCTGGTTATCCTAGCTCCTGGTGGCCCTATCCCTGCCCCTGGTTGCCCTAGCCCTACCCTTGCCCATGGCAGCCCTATCCCCACCCCTCCCCTGGCTGTCCTAGCCCCTACACTTTCCCTGAATGCCTCCAGCTCCTGGTGGCCCTATCCCTGCTCCTGGTGGTCCTACCCCGTACTCTGCTCCATGGTGTCCCCATTCCGGCCCCTGGTTGCCCTACCTACTGGTGGTCCTAGCCCTACCCCGGCCATGGTTTCCCTGCCCCTGGCTGCCCTAGCCCCTGTCCCTGGCTGCCCTAGCACTGCCCTGCTCCTGGTTGCCCTACCTCTGCCCGGTGCCCCTTGGTTGCCCTAGCCCTGCCCCTGGTGGTCCTATCTCTGCCCCTGGCTGTCCTAGGCCCTCTCCCTGCCTTTGATGGCCTTACCCTGCCCCTAGTTGCCCTAGTACCCTACTCCCCTGGTGACCCTATCCCTGCCCCTGGTTGCCCTAGCACCTACTCCTGCCCATGGCAGCCCTATCCCCACCCCCTCCTGGCTGCCCTAGCCCCTACCCTTTCCCTGATTGCCCCCAGCTCCTGGTGGCCCTATCCATGCCCCTGATGGCCCTATCCCTGCTCCTGGTGGTCCTACCCTGCTCCATGGTGTCCCCATCCCTGCCCCTAGTGGTCATGCCCCTGGTTCTAGCCCTACCCTGGCCATGGTTTCCATGCCCCTGGCTGCCCTAGCCCTGCCCCTGGTTGCCCTAACCCTGCCCCTGGCTGCCCTAACCCTGCCCCTGGCTGCCCTAACCCTGCCCCTAGTCACTAGTGGACCTACCCCTGCCCCTGGTGGCCCTATCTCTGCCCCTGGCTGTCCTAGGCCCTCGCCCTGCCTTTGGTGGCCCTACCCTGCCTATAGATGCCCTAGTACCCTACTCCTCCCCTGGTGACCCTATCCCTGCCCCTGGTGGTCCTACCCCTGCCCCTGGTGGTCTTACTCCTGCCCCTGGCTGCCCTAACCCTTACTGCTGTCCCTGGTTGTCCTAGCTCCTGGTGGCCCTGGTTGTCCTAGCTCCTGGTGGCCCTATCCCTGCCCCTGGTTGCCCTAGCCCTACCCTTGCCCATGGCAGCCCTATCCCCACCCCTCCCCTGGCTGTCCTAGCCCCTACACTTTCCCTGAATGCCTCCAGCTCTTGATGGCCCTATCCATGCCCCCGATGGCCCTATCCCTGGCCCCTGCTCCTGGTGGTCCTACCCAGTACCCTGCTCCATGGTGTCCCCATTCCGGCCCCTGGTTGCCCTACCTACTGGTGGTCCTAGCCCTACCCCGGCCATGGTTTCCCTGCCCCTGGCTGCCCTAGCCCCTGTCCCTGGCTGCCCTAGCACTGCCCTGCTCCTGGTTGCCCTACCCCTGCCCGGTGCCCCTTGGTTGCCCTAGCCCTGCCCCTGGTGGCCCTATCTCTGCCCCTGGCTCTCCCAGGCCCTCTCCCTGCCTTTGATGGCCTTACCCTGCCCCTAGTTGCCCTAGTACCCTACTCTTCCCCTGGTGACCCTATCCATGCCCCTGGTTGCCCTAGCACCTACTCCTGCCCATGGCAGCTCTATCCCCACCCCCACCCCCTGGCTGCCCTAGCCCCTACCCTTTCCCTGATTGCCCCCAGCTCCTGGTGACCCTATCCATGCCCCTGATGGCCCTATCCCTGCTCCTGGTGGTCCTACCCTGCTTCATGGTGTCCCCGTCCCTGCCCCTAGTGGTCGTGCCCCTGGTCGCTCTACCTACTGCTGGTCCTAGCCCTACCCTGGCCATGGTTTCCCTGCCCCTGGCTGCCCTAGCCCTGCCCCTGGTTGCCCTACCTCTGCCCCTGGTTGCCCTACCCCTGTCCCTGTCCCCTAACCCTGCCCCTGGCTGCCCTAACCCTGCCCCTGGCTGCCCTAACCCTGCCCCTGGCTGCCCTAACCCTGCCCCTGGTCACTGGTGGACCTACCCCTGCCCCTGGTGGCCCTATCTCTGCCCCTGGCTGTCCTAGGCCCTCGTCCTGCCTTTGGTGGGGCGGCCAAGCCCCTACCGCTGGCCTGGTTGACCTAGCTCCTGATGGGACTATCCATGTGTCTGGTGGCCCTTACCCTGCCCCTGGTTGTCATAGCCCCTAACCCTGCATTGGTTGCCATAGCCTCTAACCCTGCATTGGTTGCCAGAACCCCTAACCCTGTATTGGTTTCCTTAGCCCTTACCCTTGCCCAGGCTGCCCTAGCTCCTGGTGGCCCTATTCCTGCCCCTGGTGGTCCTACTCCAGCCTCTGTTGGCCCTATCCCTGCCCCTGGTTAACGTAGCACCTTGCCCTGCCCTTGGTGGCCCTGACCTTGCTCCTGGGCCTGGTGGGACCCACTCTTGTCCCTGGTGGCACCATCCCTGCCCCTGCCCCTGCTTGCCCTAGCTCCCACTCTTGTCCCTGACGGCCCATCCCTGCCCCTGCCCTTGTTGGCCTTAACCCCCTGTCCCTGGTGGCCTTAACCCCTTGCCCCTGGTGGCCCTAACTATACCCCTGCCCCTGGTTGCCCTAGCTCCTTATGGCCCTTTCCCTGTCCCTGGTGGTCCTACCCCTGCCCCTGGTTGCCCTAGCACCTATCCCTGTCCCTGGTGGTCCTACCCCTGCCCCTGGTGGTCCTACCCCTGCCCCTGGTTGCCCTAGCACCTATCCCTGTCCCTGGTGGTCCTACCCCTGCCCCTGGTTGCCCTAGCACCTACTCCTGCCCCTGGCGGCCCTGCCCCTGGTTGTCCTAGCTCCTTATGACCCTATCCCTGTCCCTGGTGGTCCTATCCATGCCCCTGGCTGCCCTAGTACCTACTCCTGCCCCTGTAGTCCTACCCTTGCCCTTATTGGCCCTAACCCTGTCCCTGGTGACCTTAACCCGCTCCCTGGTGGGGTCTGTTTATAACGCGACCTGGTGGGGGGCTATTTTTTGCCCCCCCTCTCGTATCTCCGAAACTACTGGACGGATCCGCAAAATTCAAACGGCGTTCGAAAGGCCTGTCAAATTTGTCGAGGAAAACCAAATTTCATTGACCTCGGGGTCACCGATGACGTCACAGGTCAGGTCAAAGATGAAATGTTTCACCGTTCACGGGTCATCTAGGGAATGCGCTATAACACCGAAGAAAACGCATTTTGTCGAGAATCAGCGATAGGGCGTCAGTTGCCTAGTACATATGTTGCTATAAGAGGTCACTGACATTACCAGGTCAGGTCACCAAGGGTCACAGGTCAGGTCACATGAACCTAACTTTAGGTACTAAGGCTGTGTGATGCATGTTTTATGGCCAATTTTTCATTTCCAACTCAATGGTGTTGTTTATAAGACTATCAGGTACGGCTTAGGTCACTTTCTGGTCAAGGTCAGGTCAAAAAAGGTCAAAAAAGGTCAAATTTTAAAGTTGATAGTTTTGCACGAATGGGTATTGGTTGACCTAGCCCCTACCCTTTCCCTGATTGCCCCCCCCCCCCAGCTCCTGGTGGCCCTATCCATGCCCCTGGTGGCCCTCTCTCCCTATCCCTGCCTCTGGTGGTCCTACCCTGGTCCATGGTGTCCCCGTCCCTGCCCCTGGTGGTCCTAGCCATACCCCTGCCCTGGTTTCCCTGACTCTGTCCCTAGTTGCCCTAACCCTGCCCTGGTAGTCCTACCCCTGCCTCTGGCGGCTCTTACAGCCCTGGCACTCACACTGTCTGTCTGCCTGTCACTGTCTGCCTGTCGGTCGTTCCGTCCGTCCGTCCGTCCGCCCGCCCAACTCTTGCTCCTGGTGATCCAGTCAATGCTCCGGGGGACCATGCGCTCCCCTTGTTCCGTGTGATCCTTCGTTTAGCCCTGGTCCTGGCTTACTTGGACCCACTGTTGGTTCTACATGCTTTTAGCTGCCCTATTACGGCTCTGCCTCTGCCCCTGGTGACTCTGTTCCTAGCTTCTGGTCTAGTCCTGTTGATTTTCGGCTTTCCATGCTAGTGTACCCGCCCCCCGGCCACTATCAATGCTATGTCTCTGTCATGTCTGATGTCATGTCACAAATCGCAGAATGTTGCTTTTGCTGTACATGTTTAATGTTTATGTTTTGCTGTTTCAGACGACCGGCATCTTGTGGACAGCAAAGACATGGCCGCGTTAAAGGCAGGTGACTCTTTCTCTTCTTTTGGCGATCTGGAAGCGTGCATTAGTGTTCTGGAAAAGGAAACAAATTCAAAATTTTTCAAGTCCAGTTCAGTGACACTTCGTAGCTTCTTGCAATCGTCCCCTGGTCACTACATTTCAAAGACAATCTCAAACAGGGATGACAAGGATGCTTTCATAGAGGAAAAGAAGTATCGTTTGATTAAGTTGGCGTGCACTCACGGGGGACGGAAGTACGCCGGTAAAGCCGATCGTGTGCGAAGCACAAAGACTAAGAAGTTAGACTGTCCCGTGCTCATCACCGTGATATTGGACAAGTCCTTGAAACTTGTGGTGAAAGAACTTAACCTCGAGCATTCTCACACAGTTTCCAAGGCTAGTTTCATGCTCGAGCCTGAGAACCGCCGCCTCACGGAGGACGAAAAGGAAGTTGCCCGACAGTTCCATCGGGTCGGTGCTGACAAAAAGCGTATCCGCCAGCACATGCTAGATCAGTATGGGAAAGTGCTTACTCGCCACGACCTGAACAACGTGTTGCGCGTACCGAAAAATGGACAACCTGATCTGGAAGCCGCTATTTCCATTCTGAGCGAGCGCGGATTTGCATCCACTGTCGTCGAGGATGCCGGTACTGTCTGCGGCCTTTTCTTTCAGGACCAGGAGATGCGGAGCGCCTACGAGAAGTTTCCTGACCTTCTCCTCATGGACTCGACCTACAAACTTCTGGACATCCGGACGCCAGTCTTCACGATTCTCACTGTAGATTCGTTTGGACGTGGCGTCCCTCTCGCCGTCTTCCTGGTGACCAACGAGACGGCTCACATGATTGGCGCCATGCTTCGTGTTTTCCGGGAACACAACACAGCTGCAGCATCTATCACCAAAGTAAACATGCGTGTAGAATAAATGGGTCATACAAATTGATACTATTTGATCATGTAAGATCAGTTACTCGGCTGGCTTAAGATGTATATTGTATAAGGTACATGCATCAAATACTTTTCGGCATTCACGCGTTATTATGCTTTTTTCATAGAATATCGTCCAACTAGTACCCTGCGCTATGCCATGTTGCAGGGCGAATAAATTCGAAATCGGCCTTATGTCGATCATCACGTTCAGAGGCTAAGCCTGGTTAGGTGTAAGGATAAGAGCTGTTTCACAAGTGTCAATTAATGAGCTGCAACTTCTGTTTTCAGGTGTGGCTGACCGACAAGGACCGTGCGGAGAAAGCTGCCATCAAGGACGTCTTCCCGGACTGCGACCAGTTTCTCTGCAGCTTCCACGTCCTGCAGTCCTTCAGAAGAGAGCTGAACCTCGCCAGCGTGGAGAAGGGAGAGCGAGAGCGGATCCTGGGGGTTCTGCAGCAGCTCGTCTTCGCCAGTTCCGAGACTGAGTATAGGCGTCTCCGTGAAGACATCAGACATCCTGCCACAGACAGATATCTTAAGGACAACTGGGACGAAATTAGAGGGGAATGGGTGCGAGGTCTGTCTGGGGCAGCCATGTCTGGTGTCTTCACAAACAACCACCTAGAGTCGCTTCACGGCAAAATGAAGTCTGTCTGCAGAACTAACGACACTCTGCCAAACTTCATTCAGTCCTACCTGACCGTCTTGACCACAGTGCGTGCCGACAGGAACGCGGAGATTCATGCAGAGGTCAACAAACGACCAACCAGCTGTCGCTTCGCCGAACTGGACCAATACCAGCGTCACGTAACCTCGTTTGCCTTGTCTCTTTTGCAGGACGAGCTGGTGGAGTCTGCCACCGTAACACTGGTCGACTCACCGGGAGGGCTGACTGCATGTGACCGGGCGGGAAGGGTGGCCGTTAGCTCCACAGCGTGCGACTGCCTCTTCTACCGGCACTACAGCCTGCCCTGTCGCCATATCATGGCAGTACGACTCGAGCAAGGCATGTGTCTATTTTCTCAGGAGCTGGTGGGGCAGAAATGGCTTTTGTCGTTCGCTGCCGATCACCTGGAGGCCCAGCTGGATTGTCGAGTACCATTCGCTCCGTCTGTGTCCACCCGCTCACTGCCACCAGGGAAGCCTCCACGGACGGAGCGTGAGCGGTACCGGCAGCTGCTCAACGTCACCTCGCAGATCGCATCCGTGGGCTGCGAGCTCACCGGAGCAGAGCACCGCCAACTCCTGGATAAACTTACCACCATGCTCCACTTTTTACAGCAGCGCCGCTCCTTCCTCATCGTAGAAGAAGTCGATGGCGTGCCAACTAACGACTCTGATTTGCCCACAGATGCACCGCCCAGCGATGTAGCCGACGCCGACCTGACTGATCTCCACTCTCCAACAGGTGGACAGTCACAGCCGACCGGGAGAGCTCTGCTCACTGCAACCAGCAGATCAAGGCCAGCAGAAGATGAGCGACCTAACTTTGACATATTTGCCGGCTTTTTCGACAGTCCACTGCGGCTTGGCGCTGCTCCACCTGCTGAGATCCCATCTCCTGATCAGGTGTCTTGCTCTTCTCGTCCCACCGCTCAGGGTTATCAGCCGGCAGTACCATCGCCACTGACCAAAACACGTACGCCTGATTACAGCGGTCGAATGACACCACGCCGCGTAGTGGTGTCTCCTTCGTGGGCTGGATCGCCGGCGGAAACCCCTAATCGCGGCATTTTTACAGGGGTAATGTCGCCGTCAGTGGTCGCCCCTCGGGCTGGCTCACACGGCGCCACCAAGCCTCTTGCAGCTCGCAGAAATCTTGTGTTCCCGTGTGGCCCCTCTGACGCGCCGTCTGGCTCCGGGCTTGTCCACAGGTCGCAGTCGCAGTCTCCGTCACAGTGTGATGACGCTGGTCGGGCGGAAGTTTCCCTGTCCCCGATTATCGGCATCGGCCCGTCTCCCATAGTTGGGGTCCCCCCCGTAAGGACGGTGACTGTGCCACCTTCCGTTGCAGGTCCATCCACGGGTCCATCCACCTCTCGGATCTCAACTCATGATGCGAGGAACGTGCAGCTGCACACGCTCACCATGCCACCAAGGGTAGCTAAGAACCGCGGACGACCCAAAGGCAGCAAGACGACTGTGATAGGAGCGCTAAGAAAATGAGGTATGCTCATGTAAACGGATACTATAGCGTTTGTTACTGATTTTATTGTATTGTACAGTCTGTCTTAAAAGTACCGCGCAAAGTGACGGTGGATCCATGAACCCTGACCGAGGAAGGGCCTGCTATAATTTAAAAGTCACCGAATCAATTGACCTGGGGAATGGACGAGGATATCCATTGTTTCGGTGACTCAAATCCAGCAGTCCTTCCTCGGTCAGGCTCGATGGATCCACTGTTACTTTGCGCGGTACTGTTAAGACAGACTGTACTACAAATTACAATACAACACAATACAATTCGTCTTAATCTACCTAATACTAGAACAACGTGCGTAATGTCTGTGGGTTTAATATGGCCTTGGGTTTAATACCATTCCGTACCTTGTGAAGCACGACCTAAATGTCAAATGATATAGTTATGCATACATTCAAATTATGTCACTTCGAAAACCGCGGCATTGGTAGCATGACTCCTAAAAGCGTAGCACATTTCCTTTGAGTAATTTGTTTTGTGGTGCTTTTATCATTGTGTGTGTGTGTCCGTATTTAAACGATGATGGTTATCTCCATACCCACTGGCATTTCTGTAAATGTGTTGTTTTGTTAATTGCCGACTACGTCTTCAGCCGATCCGGGTGCTGGCGAGCTGGTGGACCTGAAGGCGACAGGCAGACCGTAGCAGTAGCAGAAGCTCTTCAGTTGACCCGAGGACGCCGGCCTCGTCTCGCATCAAATGACAATCCCGCGCGAAATGACACCAGCCAAGACAACGACGAATACCTACGACAACGAACCTATTTGTATATACGCAATTTGTACCGTTTTGTACCTGTAGCTTTTATGAGCTTAAATGTGTTGTCTTTCAATTTGATTAGAACAACATATCTAGTCAAGCAGTGCCGCGATGTCGCGAAGAAATCTTGTGTATCTCTCAAAAGCGTTGATCTCTGCCTGCCACCCACTCAGGACAAGTTACGACCGTGTTTACTGTTTTGTACATATGACTGGATTAAACCTCGCACATCGCTTTGGTTTATTCATTTGCCAACTTATCTTTACTGTGCCAGTTAAGTTTAGAGCGAATTACCTTTTTTGGAGTCAACATGGGATACGGCCGTGCAAAAAAACCCGTTCTTTCCATAATGTACATTCTAACAAATCCAAAAGTATCTCTCTTCGCCTTCTTCCGTGTTTTGTTTGCTTAATGTAGATTGGAATGTATGTAGACATCTGGAATTTCCGCCGACTGCTGCTGTTTAGAATGGGATGCATCGAAATGTATTGTATGAGTGAATGGAATGGGTGCGAGCTCACGTCTGATTATCCAAGTTGGGCCTTTGGTCCAAAGCTTTAATATAAATCAGAAAAGTCGACCGAACTTTGAGCATGGATGGCACATGATTGTGATGGGTTCGCTAAAGGTTTCACGGCGCGATATGTTAGACTTCCTTGAGCTCCGCACGTACGACCGCGGTCCACACACACCGAGAGTCGATACCCATCTGTGTATTTGGCCTTGGCCCGTGACCCACGCCCCTCGCAGGCCTCGCAACAGCTGACTCACGCCATGATCGCGCCCCGCGCCGCTCCGATGGCAGAAGCGTACCTAGCTCGAACTCACGGGTCGAACATAAACGTGCACACGATGGTCCCGTTACCGTACACTTGAATGATTATACATATGTAAATGCACAGGCGTCACCTGCTTTTATTGGTATGGGTCTCATGACTGGTTTGAGAATATCAAAGCCAAATGTCGAAAACATTGGATTAACTCGAGGACGACCAGACCTATATCATGGATGAAGTATCCTATATAACGAGACCGATTTCCAAATATGACCAACCAGTCCAGATTATCCGCTGTTTCAGGTGACTGAAAGCACGTAACACCATTACACCCCATGCTCATTTCTTACCGGGGCATTATCAACCGATGACGAAGCTTAGGTACTGCATCACGCACCCGAGCAGTAACAGCTCTTTCCAAAAGTGGAAGCTCAATCGCTGCGACAATGCACAATCCCGATATTGAACTGCATGCCGGGGCGCTGACTTCGTGGTTTTCAGTTTGGAGATTCTTGTAAAACCGTTCGTAGCCGGTTTGCGATTTTAAGAAACTCGTTCCTGTTGCTAGCGCATGTGTATCCTACTGCCTTGCTCTTTCATTACGACACCACCCGACCGATTTACGGTGGTTGGTGCTTCACCACCAAACCCACATCGTAAGACAAACTAAAGCTCCATCGTAAGCTCACACAAAGACCGCCTTCCGTAGTCTGAGGCGTTGCCTACCGTTCTAAGGGATGCCTTGTCGGCCAAGATTTTGGCATGGGCGACAGGAAGACGAAGTAAAAGAGAACAACTAGGCCACTTAGCGTCGATACATAGCATGTCGTAGAAAATGACCATTTTACCTTCCGTTCGTATAGCCTCTCATATGTTCATACATCTGAATATCGGACAAGCGTGAGAAAGGTTCCGCAAGCAAATACTGCACCTCATTTACGTCTCGGGGCATCGCCTACTGCAATCAGTACTTCCAATCCTAACATTTCGCTTAGACATTGCGTTGCGTTTAACCTGTGTTAGCACCGTTACCACCTGTGACACTGTTCGTGGTGACCTGGCAAGTGGGTCCGGTATACCCATGCATAACGTCCTGCGGAGTGCGGGTGCGGCAAGTCCGGGACCATGCACACTATCGGATTTTGCTGTACCTGGGGCCCTGGGCTCCGGGTGAAAGTGTTCATTTTGAGCAAGGAGGAACGCTTACCCCCCCCCCCTCCCCCAAATTGTGTCAGGCCGAGCCGCAACTGCAGATACCGCAATGCTAGGACACCAGCTGATCAGCGAGACGGCATGTACCGTCCGTCAGACCATCGGCGGCGAAACGGGGAGGGCACCGGGGCACCGTGCCCCCTTTGATTTTGGCATTTTAACATTAGCCCTATGGGCGTTGCATGGAAAAATGGGACCAAAAGTCGGCAGTGCCCCCCCCCCCTCCCTTAATTGAAGGCATAGGCGTAGGAACGTTTTCGAAAGTGGGGGGGCCAAGGTCCCAGAGGTCCAAAACCTAACCTACCCCCAAAATCCGATTTCTCCTCGGATTTCGGCCACTTTGTTTTCGCAAACATGATCAGAGATAAAAAAAATCGAGACAAAAACAAAAACAAAATTGGTTAAAATTTCAGGGAGACTCCCGTCCATAAACTCAAACTGATGGACGCGTTCCCCTGTCCTCCGCAGCCGTTGGCACCCATGCAAATTCCGGAGGCATCCAGAAACTTTTTCATTACGAGCAAGCGTGAAACGTGCAAAGCGAATCTTTTCAATATACCTATAAAAATCAGCATGAACGGCCCAGCTAGGCTCAGCCAGACCTATAACGTTTTTAAGAGGTTTTATATCAGCGACCACTGCAACTGGGCTGATTGACTATCAGAGGCCGGTGTGGGACTTTTAGAGGTCGGTCTGGGCCATCAGAGGCCAGTTTAACCCTCGCCGGACCGGACCTATAGGTTTTCTACATACGCGCCGGCCGAGGGGGCGGGGGGCGGGTACGACCCCCCTCGCCGTTGCGCCCCAGGTTGAGCTAGCGTGTCGCGGAAAAACGAGCGTGTGCGCCGTTACAAGACGCAGAGATCGATACCCGATTTTAAGGTTCTAGGTCAACCGGTGACCTCTGAGGTCAGGTCAAGTGCCTCAAGGCACGGTTCCGTTTTTGGTGAATAACTTCGCAAAAAAACGGCCGCAGAGCCGCGATTTTGCCAGCATCGTGTTTGCCTCTCTCAGGCGCGTCGAATGATGTACTTTTTGTTTGGGTGAGGTAAACTGAGGGTGTTGACCACGGGTCACGGTCAGGTCAGCGCCCCCAGGTCACGAAATTGGTCGAAGGAGGTCATGTCGCATATCATTCGATTCGGCAGGTCTTCCTGAGTCCATTGATGGCTTCCCCGACTCGCTAGCTCAATTTGATCGGTAGTTATTGACGACAAACTTATATGACCCTTAAAACTTCATAAATGGCGTCGCGCAAGGTCAACATTGCAAAAGTGACGCATCGAACCTTGCAAGGAGTGCATGAAAGATTCAGTGTGCTTGAGATAGTTGAAGATCGTTTACGGCGCCAGAAAAAGTTTTCAGTTTATCCCCATTGACTTATACCTAATGGTGAGGTCACGAAAATGACCTTAGGAAAAATCCGCGATGTACAAGTTGTGAGACTCCTAATGGATACTAGGTCCTCCAAGGTTCATTTCCCTGTGAAATCTCCTCTGGCAGTGAGGGCGTTGCGAAGTTGCGACATATGAAGACCGTGCAGAGGTTCACTTATGACCTCATGGGTCAGTGACCTGATCTGACCCGAAAATGCGGTTGGTGTCAAAAGATCCGGCTTGATTCAAAGGTCAGGTATGCAAAGCTTCAGCTCTCTATCACCGGCGTGTTCGGAGCTATCGCGAAAAAAACTATGGAGGGGCGGCACCCCCCCCCCCCCCATCGGCCGGTGAGGGTTGAGGCCCTCAGAGACCAGTACAGGGCCTGCAAAGTGCAGGATGAGACATTTAGATGCCGACTTGGGCCATCAGAGGCTAATGTGGGCCCTTACAGGCCAGCATGGGCCCTCAGAGGTCAGTGTGGGACCCTAAAATGCCGGCATGGGCCGGTGTTGGACCCTAGAGGCCAGCAGAAGGCCCTCAAAAACCAAGATGGGCCTCAGAGGCCAGCATCGGGTCTTCAGAATCCAGTGCAAGGCCCTCAGAGGCTAATGCGGGTCCTTACAGGCCAGCATGGGCCCTTAGAGGTCAGTGTGGGGCCGTAACAGACCGGCATAGGAGGGACCTGGAACCTAGAGACCAGCGGAAGGCCCTCATAGGCCAAGGTGGGCCCTCAGAGGCCGATGCGGACCCTTAGAGACCGGCATAGGATCTTCAGAATCCAGTGCGGGGCCCTTAGAGGTCAATGTGGGACCCTAAAATACCAGCATGGGCCGGTGTTGGACCCCAGAGACCAGCAGAAGACCCTCAAAAACAAAGATGGGCCTCAGAGGCCGGTATCAGGTCTTCAGAATCCCGTACAATGCCCTCATAGGCTAATGACGGGTCCTTACAGGCCAGCATGGGCCCTTAGAGGTCAGTGTGGGGCCCTAAAAGACCGGCATGGGCCGGCGTTGGACCTCTAAGGCCAAGATGGACCCTCAGAGGCCGATGCGGACCTTAGAGGCCGGCATCAGGTCTTCAGAAATCAGAATTCAGTGCAGGACCCTCAGAGGCACCTAAAGGTTAGTCTTGGGACCCCAGAGACAGAAATGAGGCCACCAGAGGCCGGTGTGAGGCCCTCAGACGCCGACTGGGCCCTTGAGGCCGGTTTAGAGGCCCTCAACTGAGGTCAATGTGGGTTCTCAGCGGTCAATGTCGGCGCTTGACCGCCACTGAAGTGCCCTCCAAGATCATTGTAGGACCCTCAAAGACTGGCTTGGGAGCTGTTAATAACTAGCGTGGGATTCTTGAGCCTCGTGACAATCGAATAAGGGCCAGAGCCCCATACGCCCATGGGGGCCCATTGGTTGTTTGGGGGGGGGGCAAATGATATGATGGCCCCCTGATTAGCCTTTGGAGGGGGGAAGGGCATGGCCCTGATCCCCCCTCTGCGACCGCCACTGCACTGAAAGTGGAAAGGAAGGGGCAGATACAGACATTGCTGGCCCCCAGCCTGTTTGAGCCGAGGCGGAGGCATGGTCACCCTGGCCCCCAGCTAGTACGCCTTTGACGAGCTATGCCGACCCCAAGCAGATCCGGTCAAGCGTTGGTCGTTTGTATACGCATTCTCCTGCACCGTGCTAGTAATGTCTTATACCTTTTCAGTGCTCGCTGTCCCGTGCCTCGTATTCAACAAAATGCTGTCACCAGGACCCACAGTCTTGTCTCTGATATGGTTTCCTTCATTGAGTGAAGGAAATTGCGGTCAATAACGCTGTAGAAACAAAAGGGAATCTTCATTAAAGGGCAAGCTGAATTGTTGTCAAGTTACCGGGTGGTAGCACTGGTACCTAGGTACAGACAGACACTTAAGTCAGCAAAATGTGGGGGGGGGGCCAGTTAACATTGCTGGCCCCCCCACCTCCGAAAGTGGGGGGCCATGGCCCCCCCGGCCCCCCCTGTTCCTACGCCTATGATTGAAGGTGTTCCGCCGCCACTGCGTCGGACACTGCGTTCTTCCCGCCGCCCACACGCGGCGCCTGGGAAGGGGAGGGGAGCTGACTACGGTGGTATAACGTAACGAAGTCCCAGAATTGCTCCCTGGTTAAGTGGTTACTCGTTTCTCCACCTGGCTGGCCCGGAGCTTCGCCTCGATCCAGCGGGTTTTCGATTGCGCGGGTCTCCCGACTTCACGTTGTCTCTGGCTGCCCGGCGCTCCTGGATCGCCTTCTGGAGGTCCGGGTGGAGGGCCCACGGCATGGTGTCTTTCCTAGCTCCCCGGGGAACAAAACAACCATGATATTCGTGATCAGGCATCAGCACCCCGAAAAACCTCATGGCAGCCACACTTAACGACGTTCTAACAGGTCCCGATGTTCCCGTTTGGGTCATTGACCTGACCAATGACCTAAGATCTTAAAATTGGGTATCATCGGCTTCCTCCCGTCACGGGCAACACGCTCGTTTTTTTCCGCGAAGCTCTAGCTCGATCAGGGGCCAAAAGGCAATGGGGTGGGGGGTGGGGGGCGTCGTTGGACCCCCTTATACATTCGCGGCTTACAAAACATCAATACGAGCAAATCACGGGTTAAATCACGTCAGAAGTACTCCGCACTTCAGAAACACCAGTCAGCCTTCCTGATTAAATCACGTCAGAACTACTCCGCACTTCAAAAACACCAGTCAGTCTTCCTGATTAAATCACGTCAAAACTACTCCGCACTTCAGAAACACCAGTCAGCCTTCCCGAGTAAATCACGTCAGAACTATACTCCGCACTTCAGAAACACCAGTTAGCCTTCCTGATTAAATCACGTCAAAACTACTCCGCACTTCAGAAACACCAATCAGTCTTCCTGATTAAATCACGTCAGAACTACTCCCGACGTAACATACGCATGGAGGCGTCATGGTGTAAATCGACTCAGATCCGAGTAGATTTTAGCGCGACCGGTCCTTGTGTAAACTCCCGACGTAACATACGCATAGAGTCGTCATGGTGTAAATCAACTCAGATCCGAGTAGATTTTAGCGCGCGACCGGTCCGTGTGTAAATCGACATGCAGAAGTCGATCTACTGAAAAGCGGTTTCCTGTGTATTTCTACTCCAATCTGAGTCGATCTAATCAGGAGACCTGCTTTGTGTAAATCTACTTCGAAGTTGATTTACGCAACAGGCTGCCAGTTATTAAATGACGTTCTAGACTCGAAATACACGCGTCCTTCTGGCTTTCCCTTGCACTTGCTCCCACCGGACGTCACATGAGCCGGTCTAACGTAAACTTTGCTCTTGATACTGCCTTGGGCCGGAATAACATAGCCGGCATTAAAGTAAAGTAAAACGGAAGATCTGGCTAATTGCCAGCTAGTAACTTCCCCCTACCCCGACCAGGGCCTCGGCCTGTCGGGAGCAAAATTCAAAAAAAAAAATCCCATTGGAGCTTTTTTTCTAATACAGCAATACGAAAAGCGTTACATCGTCCACTGGCGGATCCAGGGAGCGGGCATTTAAAGCAAATATTTTCTCTCCCTCCCCTGGCTCCTGCATCGCCCGAAATAGACAAAACGTACCTTATGTTTCCTAATAATAACACTTTTATCAGGATTTGTTTTTCTTTATACTGTTCAGCAGTAGATCCGTAAGTAATCGAAATCCGAGGAGTTTTTGGATTTTTGACACTTGGGGGGGGGGGGGGTATGTCCCCTACAGCGTCGAAAACGCCTTTCTGGATCCGCCTATGACATCATCTCGACAGGGATCTTGCCCTCCCACGCCAAAATCGAATCCGCCGCCACTGACCGAAAAGGCCTAACCCAAGCCCAACAAAACAAACAAAACAAACTCGTGCTATCTGGATAGGTGGCGAGTTTCACAAACCACCACTAGGCGGCAGTGGTGTTGCTCGCTAATCCGCTGCCAATCGACACCCCACCAACGTCCTACAGATGGCGGTGGTGTAGCCCGCTAGAGCTCGCTGCTAGTAGATATACTATCTGAAGGAGTCATGCTTGTGGTGACTGTTGACTTAAGTAGCTTGAAATATGTCGATAATTGCAATAATTAAGGTAAAGTTAGAGAGCTAACTGGACCTATATGTGGTGTTATGACTTATGATATTGGATCCTGGATTTCTCAGGCTGTTGGCCTTGGACATACACTGAAGCTTAGCTTCCGTTGCGCCTCATAGAGGGCGTGTTGTAGGGTACAAAGTCTATGCTCTCTTATTCTACGGAAATTTGCTAAGTGACTTATCACAAATCTATAATGCACATGGCCATTAGAAGGCAGGATATTTGAAAAATATACCAATGCAGCTTGCGCTGATAGTATCCTATATGAGCTTCAGGCTTCCCAATGCTTGTCTACTTGGAAAAAGGTACTCATCAGTGACAATAGGATATATACGGAAAACTCGGCGGCGAATCTCATACTTACCTGGCTCAGGGAATACCGTGATCATGAAGGCGGTTCCCCCAGGGCGAGGCCCTTTCCTTTGCACTTCGGTTGGGTTGACCCCTGCGATTATCCCAAATGTGGATAACTCGGGAGTACAATTTTTGTTAGCGGGGTAGGTTGCGTTCGCGCTCCAACCCTTTTGAGTACTTGAAAGTGAGGTGAGTAGGTGGGTTAAGAAATGAGTAGACAAACGGATGCTTGAAGAGGGAATCGTTCGTTCACGAAGCTTAGAGACAGGTCAGAGACATCGGCATATTCAGATGGGTTCGTGACTCATGAAGGTATTAATGTATTCAGATGGAGACCCGATGCGGTCCGGGGACCTATGGATGTGCTGTTCCGTAGGACCCTACCGCACTGGCGATTCTCGTTTTTCTATTTCCGGAGTAGTTCATAATCGATGTGAACTTTCTGCATTCCGAGGGCAGGCGGACTAGAGCGAATCGTCTTCTTTTTCTCGTTGGTTTCTAAGATCTTCAGGTCTACATAGACATGCAGTGGAAACTGATGATCACGAGATGAACTATATATACATCTTATCTAGCAGCCTATATACACGCAGTGCCGCTTTAGACACAACCTGTGTTTTCATTTATCGTTGCTATAACTAACCCACAGGGTATCTATATGTTAATAGACATTGTTTTAGTATAATCACGATCATCAAATTTGCCCTAAAAGTTGTGATAGTTTGGACACTACCTGTGCGGACTACCGACCACTTTGCGCCGCAGTTCCATTGTCCCGGTGCGACGGGTAGAAGGAATCTTGGGTGGGACGGGTCACGGGAGTGCCCCGCTGGGGCAAGCCCGCCCAGCATGTGTGTTTGTATGTAGGTATCTGTAACAACAAAAACCTTTGGCATATCGACGCGTTTTTTCCAAACCCCACATCAGTTCTTCAGTAATTTCCGGGAAGCACGAAAGATCCATTTTAAAAAGCGTGCAATCATCCGATCCTGATCAAATGTGTGTCCGTTATAAGCTTCTTCTGGCATTGCCTGACCTGCCAAGTCCAAGACACTGATTGACCTGACCTGCCTTCAGAAAAACCGAGTGTCTACCTACCGTTTTTGAAAGTTTCTATCCAGCTTATCGGACATTCGCAGGAGAACAGATGTGGGGTTTGGAAAAACGCGTAACATCTTAATCCTGCCAACGTTAAACTCACGACGCAAGATATTTTGGAAATATACAAGCAACTAGAATCGCTCATTGACCCAAGGCTATAGAACTCCAGGTAAGGACACCAGCCGTTTGACCTTGAACGCCGCCGGCCGGCCGATGACGTCATTGGAGGCAAGCCGGCTCGGCGGACGCATCGAGCGAGCGTATAACGGAGGAGCGTTAGGACGTTGCGGGAGCCGGGGAGAGATTTTAAAGCGTTTACCACCATTGTTATGTTGATTGATCTAGACTGCATTCTTATAAAGCTCGACGCATCTTAGGCCTGGATGGTGCGTACATTCGTAGAACGGTCCGACGTCCGTGGTCGAAGCTGTCTACTCTATATGTACCAAAAGACGCTAAGACCGGTGCAATAACGGCGACCCGATCCCGTCTCTGGCGATTCTAGGACTCGTTAGGACCCAGGCCGAGTCTGACCCGTCTATTTTTAAGGAAACGGGGTGGGTGAATTGACAACCGAATACCGATGGTTAGAATTGATCCCGTCGTCGAGCGATGGTTGATTGACAGACAACACATGTAGTGGTAGGGTGACCGGTTTTGCAAAAAGTTTCGAAAAGTTCTGCTCCCCAGGTCTAATGTAACGTATTTGGGGGTGCTGATCCCGAATCCGGCGGAAAAAATATAAAATTCGAATTTTTTTTGACCGCCCCGGCTCTTTGAATATTTCCGGTTTTCTCAATTTTTGCATGTTTTTGAATAATATGATGAATGTAATGAAAAAATATGAACAATGTATCGCTAAATGCATGTACCAGTCGATTCGGCATACAGCGACGTCGAAATCGGCACGCCGCCTGCTTCACCGGCCTCGCAGGAAAGCATAAGGCTCGGAAGGTTTGCGTTAGTTACCCGATTCTCTCCATAGATGGCGCTGGCGTAGCCGCCCGCCGGCCGGTCGTTGCCGTGCCGTTTACAGCCCCGGCGGTCACTTGCGACCGTCGTGGTCGTTATGCTACGTCTATCAAAGCACGACAGAAATGTTCACTTCATTTTTATGTTACTTCAGACACATTTTAGACCTAATGTTGAATTGGATAAATGACTATCGTGATTGGCGAAATAGTGGAGTGCGCTCGGGAGCCATTTACAATAGCGAGGAACGTAGGTGGATTGATCTGAGTAACATATGACACTGCGTTCACTGTTGATATGAAGTTTATTCACACTATGTAGTCGGGTGACATGAGAACAAAGTGACTAACATACCTTGTGTACGACACATGGATGAAGCTAATGCTACTTTTTCATTTTGTTTCGGTAGGCCCGTTTGTTCAGAGCGTAGCCGTCCTGTCGGTCTGCGCCTGTTACAGCTGTGACTGATTCGGTGGTCAGCTTTACAGCCCTTTCGGTGGATTGGGTATGGCAGGGGGCCCCCGTTTTAAGGGGAGTCTGTAGAAAGTCGCGCAACTCATCCTCGCTCATGTGTCGTACACAAGGGGGCTCAATGTCTCGGCCCTCGTCAACCGCTCGATGCATGTTAACCAGTTCCATATAGTTGTTCGCTTGAACGTTAATTTCCGGCAGCCGGAAGTGCCGAATGGGCTGTTGCTGTGGCGGTGGGGGTGGCAGCTTTGGCGGCGGTCGTGGCGGCGGTGCCGGCGGCGGCGGTGGTGGTGGTGGTGGTGGTGGTGATGGCCGCCGCCGTTTCAGACGCCGCTGCTGCTGTTGTGGCGGCGGCGGCGGGGGCGGCGGCGGCGGCGGTGGCGGTGGTGGTGGTGGCGATGGCCGCCGCCTCTGTCGCCCCTGCTCCTGCTGTGGCGGGGGCGGGAACGGCGGCTGCTCCTGTCGCTGCCTTTTTTGACGAATGCTCTGGATTATGCGGACTGCATCTGCCCTAATGCCATGCCCCCGCCACATCAGAAGCAGGGGCGACAGAGGCGGCGGCCATCGCCACCACCACCACCGCCACCGCCGCCGCCGCCGCCGCCGCCGCCGCCGCCACAACAGCAGCAGCGGCGTCTGAAACGGCGGCGGCCATCACCACCACCACCACCACCACCACCACCACCGCCGGCACCGCCGCCACGACCGCCGCCAAAGCTGCCACCCCCACCGCCACAGCAGCAGCACATTCGGCACAAGTCCGGCTGCCGGAAATTAACGTTCAAGCGAACAACTATATGGAACTGGTTAACGTGCAGCGAGCGGTTGACGAGGGCCGAGACATTGAGCCCCCTTGTGTACGACACATGAGCGAGGATGAGTTGCGCGACTTTCTACAGACTCCCCTTAAAACGGGGGCCCCCTGCCATACCCAATCCACCGAAAGGGCTGTAAAGCTGACCACCGAATCAGTCACAGCTGTAACAGGCGCAGACCGACAGGACGGCTACGCTCTGAACAAACGGGCCTACCGAAACAAAATGAAAAAGTAGCATTAGCTTCATCCATGTGTCGTACACAAGGTATGTTAGTCACTTTGTTCTCATGTCACCCGACTACATAGTGTGAATAAACTTCATATCAACAGTGAACGCAGTGTCATATGTTACTCAGATCAATCCACCTACGTTCCTCGCTATTGTAAATGGCTCCCGAGCGCACTCCACTATTTCGCCAATCACGATAGTCATTTATCCAATTCAACATTAGGTCTAAAATATGTCTGAAGTAACATAAAAATGAAGTGAACATTTCTGTCGTGCTTTGATAGACGTAGCATAACGACCACGACGGTCGCAAGTGACCGCCGGGGCTGTAAACGGCACGGCAACGACCGGCCGGCGGGCGGCTACGCCAGCGCCATCTATGGAGAGAATCGGGTAACTAACGCAAACCTTCCGAGCCTTATGCTTTCCTGCGAGGCCGGTGAAGCAGGCGGCGTGCCGATTTCGACGTCGCTGTATGCCGAATCGACTGGTACATGCATTTAGCGATACATTGTTCATATTTTTTTCATTACATTCATCATATTATTCAAAAACATGCAAAAATTGAGAAAACCGGAAATATTCAAAGAGCCGGGGCGGTCAAAAAAAATTCGAATTTTATATTTTTTCCGCCGGATTCGGGATCAGCACCCCCAAATACGTTAGATTAGACCTGGGGAGCAGAACTTTTCGAAACTTTTTGCAAAACCGGTCACCCTAATGTAGTGGGCGGATAAGCATCAGGGATAATGCCTGAACGTAGGCAAGCATAATTGGTGTGCCATATTGTTTAGGAATATAAAATCGTAACGGAGGTCCTTGAGGATATTATCTCTACATTACGAGGATTCACCACCAGTGAAATTACTATTGTTAAACCCTCGGTCCCGGGCAACTCCGGGGAGCTGCAGTATCCGGCGGCCACCTCGTCGACTCGCAGGTCCTGTGGGCTTCCGTGATGCTTCAGTGCTTCACCCAGAGGCACGGATAGAGCAGTAGGATGTGGGGTGAGGTGTCTGTACGCCTCTTCATTGTAGGTACGACGCATACAGCACCCAGTCCCGCCGAAGCTCGATAATCGACCGTGACATATTCTTAACTGGCGGATCCAGGAAGCGGTCTTGAACACATCGGGGGACATATACCCTAAAAAAGGTTTCTGTGAATTAAAAAAAAAAAAACATCGGATTTCGATTCCGTGCGCACTACTGTGCAGTTCGATCAATAAACTTTTCCTCATAAAAGTTGTGAAGTTTTCGTTTTATTCTCGAAAAACGATTGCAGACGCTGCTCCGGATGTGGGCCTGTGGGGGATAACATTTGTCCCAAATGCCTTCCCTTGCAATCGCCAGCGGGCTGCCCCACCCTGAGCTTAACTAAAAACGTCTTAGAATCCCACCAGAGAGCCGAATCCGATAACTCACCTCTGTCTGCCCGTCTAAATTACTACGCACCGTACAGTAGGTCTATTAAAAAAGTCCCCAGCACCAGTGGGCGCTGCCTTCGCTGAGCCGAACCCCCGTCTGCCTGTCCTATATCGCGCCGGGCTCAGGTCAGGTAGGGTCAGCGGGACCGCTCGG